AAGTATTAATAATTTTTTGTGGAATTCAAGGATAATCTTTCATTGCAAACTAGTGTAGTGTATTGAACTCTTCATCTAGTCATAAAACATTATTTTCTTTCTTTTTGTAAATAACATTGGAGATAATATGACAAAAATAATACTCATCCAAAAGTCAGAATCATATATTTTTATTAACATACTTAAGCCTATTGATATATAACTAGTAATAACATTAACAGTAATAATAATATCCATAATAATAGCTAGCATTGAAGAGTTAACATTTACAAGGAACACTTATTATTTCATATGTAAAGTACCTTATTTAAGTCTCACAATAAATTAAATTAGCCACATTTATGGTGAGGAAACTGAGACACTAAGAGGCTAAATAATTACCCAAGTTGACAGTGGCATTGCCAGGATATGGACCCAACCAGTACCATCCCAAAGCACAAACTCTTAACAATGTTATATTCTCCCATAGCTACAAATATAGATAGATAATTGATAGATAGACAGATATGTGATGGCAAAATCAACTTTCTATCAGAGAATCTTCCTGAACATTAATGAAAAGAAAATAAGTTTAATAATAAAACACTTTTAATGGTTAATGTAATAATAGAATAGCCATAAATATGCCATAGTCTAAAAACAATCTGGGGAAAATCTATAAGTACATTCATGTAATACTGACTGCAATATTAAATTGGCTTTAGTAGAATGAATTTAAAAACTCACCATTCAAATATAAATCTATTTCCTTCTTTCCCTTAATATTATCATGAACTCTGAATTTTAGTAAACATACCTACTAATAAAAAAATGAACTTTTTTCAATAAGGTGAACTAAAGATGAAGAAATAGAAATAGTACATTTTTTTATAAATTGATTTTAGCCATAATGCATTAGAAAGAATTCACCAGTGTAACATATTATTTAGTTAGTAATATGGCCCTAAAAAATAAAAACAGCATTCATATATCATATCACCAGAGAGAAGTCATACACAGCAAAATAGTTTGACAAATTTAAGAAACAAGGAAACTATAAGGAATTATTTAAAAGCTTATAAACTACCAGAGAATGTGCAAGTAATAAATAAGGTAGGCATTTATCTTTCATCCCATTTAATTGCATTGTGCCTCAGCTTGCCAGATGTGTAATGTCAGTAACAAAAATTAATATAGAATAATGAACTAGGCTTAAACCTAGCACAGAAGTATCATCCCTGAAGGGGAACACATTTCTAAAAGCACTAAGCCTGTTGGAATGATAAAACTTACCATTCTAATTTAAAACATTTTGTAGCTAATTTAGTTATTTAAATGTTCCATTGCCTATATAGGCAAAAGTTAAAATAATACTTTGGTAATACCATTACCAAATGGCAATTTATGACATTGCATTTGGTAATGAATTCTTTGATAGGCAACAAAAGAAAAAAACAGATAATCTGGACTTCATCAAAACTGAAAACTTTTGTGCTTCAAAAGACACTGTCAAGAAAGTGAAAAGACAACCTACAGAATGGGAGAAAATATCTGCAGATTACATAAGGGCCTCATATCTAAAATACATAAGAACTCTTAGAATTCAACAATTAAAAAATAACCTAATTAAAAAATGGGCAAAGGACTTGAATAGAAATTTCTCCAAAGATATACAAATGACCAATAAGCCCATGAAAAGACACAGGGCCTTGAACAAATATTTGCACACCCATTTTCATAGAAGCATTATTCATAATACCAAAAAGAAGTGACTCAATTATCCAACAGATGAACAGACAAACAAAATGTGGTATATACATACAAGAAAACATTAACCAACCTTTATATAAAAGAAAGGACATTCTGACACATGCTACAGTAAGAATGAATCTTGAAGACATTATGCTAAGTGAGATAAGCTGCCACTAAAGGACAAATACTGTATGATTCCACTTGTTTGAGAGACCTAGAGTAATCATATTCATAGTGAGAAAAAGTAGAATGTCAGGTGCCAGGAGCGGGGGGTGGGCTGAATGGGAGTTATTATTAATGGCTATGGGTTTTCAGTTTTGCACAATAAAAAAATTGGGGGGATTGATGATAATGATGGTTTCATAGCAATGTGAAAGTACTTAATGTCACAAAGCTACATACTTAAAAGTTATTAAAATGGTAAAGTGTATGTATATTTTATCATAGGTTTTAAAAACAAATTGTTTTAAAATGGACAAAGGACTTGAATAGACATTTCTTCAAAGAAAATATACAGTGCCTAACAACCACTTGAAAAGATTGTTAACATCACTAGTCATTAGGGAAATTCAAATCAAGATCACAATGTGATACCATTTCATATTTACTAGGATGGCTGAATTTTTTTAAATGGACAATAACAAGTGTTAGTAAGGATATAGAGAATGGAATCCTCTACATTTCTGGGGAAAATATAAACTGCTGCACCACTCTAATACACAGTTTTGAACAATTTGACAATTACTAAAAATATCAAACATAGAATTATATGACCCAGCAATACCTCCCTTAGCTTGAACACAAAAGGACTGGAAACTGATATTCAAAGACTTGTGCCATAATGTTCGTAGCACCAGTATTCATAGTAGCCAAAAGGTGGAGGAAAAATACCCAAATGTCCATCAATGAATAAATGGATAAAATAATGGTGGTATATCTTTACAATGGAATAATATGCAGCCCTAAAAATGACTGAACTATTGATACATGCTATAAGAATGAACATTGTAAACAATATGCTAAGTAAAAGAAGCCAGGCACAGGAGGTCACATTATGATTTCATTTATATGAAATATTCAGAATAAATAAATTCATTTGGGCAGAAAGCATATTAGTGTTTGCCAGTGCTGAAATGACTACATAATAGGAGCAGGGTTTTCTTGGAGTGAGGAAAACAGATATTGGAATAGACATTTTCAACTCCACAGAGGTGATGGCTACACAACATCATGAATGTACTACATGCCACTAAACTGTACATTTAAAATAGTTAATTTTATGCTATTTAGATTGGACACTAACTTAAAGAAATAATAATGTTCTAAAACTGGGGAATCGTTGGAGGCAGCATATAAAGAACAGAAATATACTAAGTAAATCAGTTTGCAAAAACGTTTGGACCATTACATAGGCATTAAAATAAGTTGGAAAGTATACATGAAGTCATTTTCATAAAAGTAAAATAAAACAATTTTATATATTAAATGCATGAAAGTTTGCAGACACAAATAAATCGTAAAGTGTAACAAACTTCCAGTTTTCTTTTTTTCTTAAAGTTGTGGAAATAGTAATATGTGTAAAAAATCTATCTGAAATATAATTTTTTATCAATGAAATCCTTGGCTATCAAAAATTCAGTAGTAAAAAGCCTTCAAAAACAAGATTTCTCTAAAGTCTTTATCTTTTTACTTAAACAAAAAATAACAAAATGCTGTGACTAAATTTTATGGATTTTTTGCAATTTCTGTGAACAGTAGACACAGCCCTAAGCTATGGGTTTTAGCTGAAGGCTGCTGGATCTTGCCTGTCCATACTGACATAAATTCTAAATTAACAGTTAAGAGCAGAACCTAAGAATCAGATGTTTTCTTCCTCTTTCTAATAGTATGATATTTGGAATTCTACTTAACTTCTTTGTATATTTGGAGTAGAAGAGATACTTCCCATTCAGCTGTTGTGAAGTTGATACAAAATACTGAATACAAAGCTGTAAGTACAGTGCCTAGACCACAGAAAATGTGAATGTCAGGCAAGTCATCTGCATAAGAGCATCAAACCAGTCAGAGTTTCACATCACAAAACTTCCATTCACTTGTCTTCATTAGTACCACACCTGCTATTGCCCGAGCAATTTTGTTGATTCAAAGGCTTAACTGATCATTCTCCATGTTTCCCAACCCTGAGTGTGTATTAGTCATTTAGAAAGCCTTTCAAAAGAGTCAATGTCCTAGAATCACCCTAGAACCTCAATCAAGATATTGATTTAATTATTTTAGGGAACAGTCGAGACATCCTTAATTTTTAAAAGCTCTCCAGGTAGTTTTAATATACAAGTAGTGTTTTTATCTAGACCAGGCTTGGGCCCAACTTGCTCCAGGCTTTTCATAGCCAACAACAGAGGCTTTTCTCTGGGTGCTGTACAGGCAATCTCCATTCAGAAAAAGTGGATAAAAAATTGAAGGGCAAGGACCAACCTAGCGATAAAGGAGGATTACTATAAAATTACAATTCAAAAGGAAAATTTTAAATGGAAGACCAAAAATTCCCTGAAAAATAGAAGGAGAAGAATAGAGAGGAAGACAGAGAAAAGTAAGGTTCAGTGAATGAATATGTGATGATAAAACTAGGACTTGAAATGCTCTTTTAATGGGCTTCACTGCCTATCACATACGCCTCTATTACATATACTCTCCTTTGGTCGTTATAATCCAATTAAGCATTATCATCTTCCTTTTACATATGAGAAAAATGAGGTACTAAGAGGGTAAGTCAATTTAGCCACGGCCATATGTGAGAACAGTAGCAAGAATTGGAATGTCAGCCCAGAACTGATTTAAAACCCACTATCTTAAACATTACGCTATGCCACCACCCTGAGTGGGGGGGAGGGGGGGAATCTTATCTGATATAAGGCATATACAAAGCCTTTAATTATTTACTTCTAAATGTTAACTTACTGTTATTAAAAAAAGAAACTATTAGCGGTGGTTGTTTTTGAATAGTGAGATTATGGAAAATCTTTTATTTTATTGCATTTGAAAATTTTCATATAATAAACATGTATTCATTTTGAAGAAAAAGAATTTTAAAAGCAAGTGTATCACAGAAATTTTGTAGTTCACTAATAAATAGTCGCTAATAAATATATACATTAACTTCAAAAAATACAGAGCCTAAATGGGAACATTTTTCTTTGAGAGGTGTATCTTCCTCAATTTTCTTTTCTGTAGTAAAATTACTCTGAAATAAAAGAAAAAAAAATACTTACCTGTACACTGCCCTCCATTGGTTGGATCTCCATAATAACCTGGCATACAGTCTTGACACTGCTTTCCTGTGGTGAGATTTTTACACTGTTCACACACATTACTATTGATGCACGTGCTGTGTCCATTACACTGGCAAGCTAAAGAAAATAGTAAAAAAATTTATAAACATCTACATAACAATACCAAGTATCATAGCTATTAGGACAAAGCATTTATTTTAAAAGTCTAAGTGGTAGAAAGTCCAAAAGACATTCCCCAAGTTATTTTTAATGTATAACATATATGGTTCAAAACATTAATGCAGGACAGTATATACAATAAATTCTGTGTTGAAGTTTTGCCTTATGCACTACAGAATGCTAAAGATTAAGTGAAACATAAAAGTTACATCTAAGAAGAGAATACTTTTCAATGTATTCCTTAAAGATTCATGTGAATATTATGTTTATTAATTTACATGAACATAAGAATGAATAATATAGCTTTGATAAAGAATGTTCAAGTCCATCTTAAGTATATTTACACATAATAACAAAGCATCAATACACATAGAAAATTTTGTGGCAATAGGTTCTTACTTCAAGAAAATTTATTAGTATAAAATTAACAAAAATAGCTCTTTCAAATTAAATTACATAAATGTTTATCTCCTTTGGATGAGAAAAGCTTCAAGTCTTAACTGAAATTCTATTTGCGTGTGAATTAAACAAAAGATTTAAGGCCTGAGATTTTTATTGTATTCATAATATCAGATTTAATATGTTTTCATATTTATAATACAACAGAATCCAAAAATTCAGGTAAGAGATAAAATTCATACATAAAAACTCATGTCTTCAGTGGTTATTTGCAGCATAAGTATTGTTTGGTAACTACTTGCCCAATCATCACCATCATCACCTTGAAAATTATTTTCATCATTATTATAGCTAAGATGACATTTAACTGAGTTCTCTCTCACTCTCACCAGGAAAGTCAGTGTTCGGTCAATTCCAATTGCTTGTGGCTGACATCTATTCTGATTGGTCACTGCCCATATCATCTGAGTTTTAAAATATTGCAAATACCACCCCATTGCCAAATAGTGTACAGAGTGTCATACATGAATTAGATCATTTAATCCTCACAACAATTTTATGTCAAAGATACAGTTTGGAGACCATTTGTAAGATGAGGAAGCCTACCTAACCCAAACTCACACAAATAATCAATGAGAGAAACATACGCACAATCAGGAAGTCTGAATCAAAAAATCGGACATTAAACACCATACCTCTTGTACATAGATAATTTGAATGTGAGAGGAAAATCCCAAGACATAAGGTCATCAAGAAGAATTAACATCAAAAGTAAAAAATACGCACCCATAAACACTAAAAACCAAATACTCATATCTTAGAGAAATTCCAGAGGCATAAAACTCTATTGTAACGTAGTATACAAATGACAGGAGTCATCATGGGATCCTAAAACTCTTCATCATCCTCTAGATGAAATTAAGGGAAGTTATATCATAGTTTTCAAGCTTTATATTACATTATGAAACTGGGAGAAAATTTAACAATAATAAAAAATATTAAGTGAAATCATGATACAAAACATTGTATTTGGAATGATCACAGTTTTGTTTCTAAATGGATAAACATGCCTATAGAAAATTTAACAATGGCTGTCTTCATACAGCAAGATTTTTCTGCAACATCAATTTTCTACAATAAATTTATATTACTTCTATAGTAAGAAAAGATGTTAAGAGATTTAATTTTTTTAATATTTTGCTTAAAAGCTTAAGTTGTTTCATTGAAACAGTAAACTAATTCACCCAGGTAAAAACAAAATTTATTGAGTACCTACTACATGTAAAGCCTTTCATGAAAAAATGAAAAAAGAAAATGAGTTTTATAAGTAATTTATGAAACGACTGGCTACATTTTTTTCATCACAGAAACAAATGCTTTGATTCCTGAATAAGATGGTTAAACTGAGCAGTCAGATTTAATATTCTCCCTTCAGATTACTACTAGAATAATAAGAAAATTTGCCAGCAACAATAAGAATTTGGGTATGGTGACAACTAGACAAATAGAAACTACAATAATACTGTAATTTAAAAGAGACATATTGCCACTCAACTGTCCCATCCTGAAAGTAAGAAGTTCTGAAGGCAGTTCTGGGCTATGGGAGAATCAACAAACATATCACTGACATGCCTCCATATAGCTGTTGGAAAGTATAATGCAGGGGAAATCTGATGCTTCATGTAGTGAATATACCACACGCAAAGCTGGTGTAATTTAGATCTAACTGCGGACAGAATTTCTATCATAAAAAGATTAGTCATTGCCATATCTTGTACCTAGTATGGTAGCAGTATTAAAGAAAGTGGAAACCAGGCACAATGGCTATATCAACACAGAGAAGAAAATCATAGACTCGTAAGCCTATAATTATGTTCTACTTCCCACTCCCAACAGGGTGTTGAAGCAACAAGTAATGTAAGCTTGCGTATAGTAGTTCTTCTAGGATACATTGTTACTTGAAAGTTTCTAATAACAATTTGGCTGTGGAACAAGGATAAAACTACAGAGAAGCCATCCATACTGTTTTGTCTAAATTTTAAAACCAGCCCAGATGGCTCCTCATCTATGGATATACAAACAGAAAAAGATGAAAATAAAGTATAAAGGAAAACTCAGCATTTGATATGCAAATAAAGACCATAGTTTTGAAAAATATGTGCTCTCCAAAACAGATATAAAACCTTTAAAAATATCTGCTTGACATTCTCAATAAAATTTAAAAATATATACATAGAAAATCAAAGCTAACACTTACCCAAAACATTTTCAACACTAGCCTATCTCAAAATAAAAGGGGATTATCAGATGCTAGAAACAAAGCAGGATTCAAAACAAGAATGTTAAAGAGAAATGTGAGCTATTGGAGGAATTTTACTATACATGGGATAGACAAGAGGTAGGAGGCATGGGTTTCAAAACACAGCAGGGCCAGGAGACATAATCTCTGGCATTCATAAGGAAGGGAGCTAAACTGAAACCTATTCATAATAATTGAAACCTTCAACTGTACCATTATCTGTGAAAAAGATGCTAAAACACATCAAAAGCCCAAAAATGCAGAAAAGAACCTCAAGCACATTAAGGTATAAGTATGAAAGAAAAAAGGCACTTCTGAGAATTTTAAGCCAGGGCCAGGCGTAAGTGTTGGGTTGAAATTCGCATTATCCACATGGTAGAGAAAGCCCAACATTAAACATTAATGTAAAACCTGTTGTGTAATAAAGGCAAATCTCAAAACCTCTGTAAAAGCAGATGTAAATGGCCTCTTGAAATACTTCTGCTCCTCAGGTCATGCAAATACACCACAAAATGGAAAGTGAGAAAACTTTTTTCTGTAAAAGGCTAGATAATAAGTATTTTAGGCTTTGCAGATGATACAAGTTCTGGCACAACTATACATCTCTGCTCTTGTAGTGCAAAAGGGCACATACACAATATACAAACAATTGAGCACAGCTGTACTCCAGTAAAACTTAATTCACAAAAATAGGCAGTGGACAGAGTTAGCCTGCAGGGCATGAAATCCTCTGATATAGAAGAAAATATACTTACAGAATTAAACCTCAAAAGAAAAAAGTACAAAGCATCATAAAGGAGAATAAGGAGAAAGAGATGATAAAAATGAGAACTGACACCTGAAAGACTGTAGTGAAGGAAAATTAGAAGATAATACAAATAGTTGAAACAATAAAAGAGAAAAAAAAGAAAACCATGCTTAAAGAAGGAAGACAATCTCCAATGAGATAGGGAATATCAGCAAAAAACATAAATTGTACAAAACAACTACTGGAAATCAGGGAGTACAACAATACAATAATTGAAAAATACAAAAAAGGGATACAACAATGGATTTGAACTGACAAAAGCATTAGCAGATAGTTCAGCAGAGATTATGTAACCTGAAGTACAGAGAGAAAACAGGAATGCAGAAAATGAACAGAGCCTCCGATAAATGTGGGATACCATTCAGAACACCAACATATGTATAATGGAAGTGTTAGAAGAAGAGGAGAGAAGGAGGAGGCTAACATTTGTTTGAAGTAATTCCTGAAAACTTCCCAAATTTGATGGAAATGCTAATCTACGTAATTAAGGTAAATAAACTCTCAGTACAATAAACATGAAAACATTTCCAGACACATTATAATAAAAATGATAAAAGACAAATACAAAGAAAAATATTTCAAAGAGCAAAAGAAAATGACCCTTCACTTACAAAGAAGCCCATAAGATTAAAAACCAAGGAGAGGGAAAAGATGGCAGCCTGAGAAGTGAGGTAGAAACTTCCTCACAAAACCACATATAACACAAAAATACAGCAAATACAACTAATCCTGAATGAGTAACCGGAAAGAAGACTGCAACAGATGGCCTGGTTCAGGGGAAAAGAAAAGACCTCATGGAAAAGGGTAACACAGCAAAGCCACGATCCAGTAGGACCCAAGCCCTCCCCAACACCAGCTCACTGGCAGGAGGAAGAGGTACAGAGTGGAGAGAGAGTAGAAGCCCAGGACTGCTAAACACCTTCCCCTGGAGATCTGCTCTGGGAGCACAAACCCACATTACAGGGTGCTCTGGAGATTAGTCAAATCTGGAGATTAGACTGACACTCCAATCACTTGTGGAGAACAGATACCCACAACTGTCCATTCTGGGACAAAAGGAAAGTGCACACTTTGAAAGACTTCTCAAGAACAAGAGGGATGCTAAAGGGGCAAGAATTACACAGAGCTTGCGACTCAAGGTGAACAAAATCATCCTGGCACACTCAGCCCAGCAAGTTGGGATCTTTCAGGAGCTTCAGATGCTCCTACCCATGGCTGGCAATGCAGCACCAAAGCCTCCCACTGTGATACCCAGCCTGCCGCTCCTTCACACAGGCGGGCAATGGTTAGCAAACCTGTTACCCATGCATATTGCACTAGGCCAGCTGGAGGGTAGCCACGCCTACAGCAGCTACAAGGGCATAACATGGAGGATCCTCCCTGCACTATCAGCCCACTGGTTCTGACAGTGGAGGCAGGCACTGCAGGCAGGAAGCAGGAAGGGGCTCTTAC